GCCGGTGGTTTACTATGAATAAAACTGAGTTTGTGTTCAAAGCGCGATGCTCCATCAGTATGCGTAAGGTGAGCGCGTGACGGCATCCACAAGCGTCCGCTCGCTTCTACACCTTCATGTTATACTCTTGTAGGTAATAAAATGCCTTATAAAAGCAAATAGTTTTGCCAAGTTTCGAATTACATCATTTCATTTTTTAAACTTTAATTTTTGAATGTTTTTGTTTCATAATAGGAATGCAAAACACTAATATATTATTTAAAGATTTGCAATATGAATAGAAGTAGTCCGTATTTCCGATGAATTAAAAATATTGGAAAACAAATTACGGAAGGGAACGATTAAAAGAAATTAGAAGTACAATGATTTGTTTGTAATCATAGAATTATTACGCATTGTAATATTCATTTGAATTTTGAATTCTATACTTAGAAAGAAAGTAAAAAAGAAAATACTGAAGAGAATTATTAACTAGATTTTTTGTATCTACTGTTATGTAAAAACTATGTATATCAGACAGGTTTCACACTAATTTCTATTTATCAATAATATTTCGTTTTATTATATACAATTTTATTTACATCCATAAATTTAATTTGGCATGGTATAGGCATCCGACATTTGTCTCACTTATAATATTCACTTCAGATTATTAAAATCCCACTACTGAACATAGGCTATAGCTAAGATATATCTTCTAGGACTTTTAATAGGCTCTAACGGTAATGGGTCCTATTGAAACATAAAGTAGGCGCTTAAGATCAGGTAGATCTAAGCTTCTTTTGATTCTAATTTATATTTTTTTTTAATTCTCATTTTTTAGCACTGACCTGTTTAATGACTAATAAGGAATGGAGATGTCTTAAGGCCAAGAATAAAAAGGCTTTTTTAAGCTAAGTTAGTGCGCTTTACAATCTTCTTCTACATAATCACTTATTATCGAGTGGGAGAGTAGTCAAGCACAAGCCTGTAATAGTTAAATAGAAAGTCCTTGAAAATAGTTCTTAAAAAAGCGTCCTTAAAAATCTTCTTAAAAAGGCAATCCTTAAAAAAGTACTTTCTTAATTCTAATTTAAAATAATGTGTAATTACTAATTGATTTAAGCCGCCGGACTTTGTGCGTCAATTATGAAAAGTCAAATTTTCTTAGCTGAATGATATTTATGAATGAAACAATAATGAATAGAATAGAATAGAATAGAATAATTTTTATTACTCTATTTAAAATTAGATCACATGTGTAATTGTTATTGAAAGTAATTTTTTATTTTACCACTGGTTCGAAAAAAAAACCTCTGTCCTGGGAAGAACCAGCAAGAAACCCAGCGGGACTTTTTAAAGCATATTTTACATTAATGGTTGCACAAACTACATAAGTACAAAATTTGTTTTATAAACAGCTTTGAAGCGACCACCTCATTCCCAGTGGTTATTATCAACCATGTATTCATTTATACTATAATAACCCTTTATATACAATTTTAACTTATTTAGACAAAATATTTAGACTTGGTAATGAATCAAAATAGTCCTTGGATTCTATTTAGGATCTTCCAAATATAGGTCAACAGATTACAAATGTATTTTATAAAAGAAAGAAGATGTGACACAGGAAAATTATTAAAATTTTGAAGTTTAATGTAATTTTTTTAAATATTTAATGTTAATAATATATAAGTAGAAATCACAGTATTGGTTAATTAATACAATTTCAAAAACTTACAAATAATTTATTACAATACGTATACTAGTAGATGTAGACGCACTGTTCATTTCAAGTTTAAACAAGGACAAAATAATTTCATAAAATAGCGTTACGAGGCGTGTATGTAAGGATATGTAATAGGAAGAATAGCGGCAGAGGTGGTTGGACTATAATCTAAACTTACTGTGAGGGGGCGTGAAACTTTATCTCGAACGAGGATGTGCTGAATTATTTAACTGTGAGGCGCAAGCACGCGACTTCCTCACATTCGGTGTTGTTTGCAAAGTAAATTTAAACCTTGCCCAGTAAATTTATCCGGTTTCTACACTCGTATGCACGAGTAAATAATCATAAAGGAAATATTGAACGTGAAGAAGTTAATAGATTCTGAAATCTGAGTTAGAAAATTTAAAATAGTTTAAATAAAAAAAATATCACGGCGTTTCTTACGACGTCAATTAGTCTAGTCTAAAGTCTATGCTTAGTCATTTTAAGGCAATCACAGAAATATTTTTATGGTACAGTTAGCAAAAACTATAGATAACTATTTATAAATGTAATGACCATCATAATTACAGCCTATCACAAATATCTCTTATAAAACTTTGATCTAAAACAAAATCGTTGATTTAAGTTTCTCAGTAAAAATATAATAATTCATAATGTCAATATGTTAAAGAAAAAAAACATTACTGTAATTTGTGTGTGTGTGTGTGTGTGTGTGAGTGTGTGCGTTTGTTTGTGTATCTCTGATGAGATGGTATATATTTCGTCAAAAAATATAAATGTGCGTAGCTCCGTTATTTCTTTTCTATCTCATAGCAAAAGTTTTCTTTGTTTCACATTATTCCGCTTCATGTATAACTTTGGAAGTAACTTCGTGAGAATAGTCTATAATCACTAAACAATACTTCCGTGGGTATGACATCGAACAAAACACAGCAATAACCGCGCAAAGATACCGTTTTTAGATTGCATGGTGCCGAACAAAGGGAGGGAAAATCAGAGCTAGCGCGCGAACGTTCTGCGATCACGTCCCAGAGCCACCATGTCAATCGCGATTCCACTTTTTTTTATTTTCCATTCAGACAATAGCGAGAAAATGTTTTCTACGTTGGGGTGGCAGCGCGAGCTGTGGGGTCAATAGGAGCACTAATCTCTGTCGGGATTGTTCGGATTAATGGCTCGTATTGCCGTCTATGTTGTTTGTTTCAAAGTTCTTGGTTTGTCTGGCTGTTAAGAGTTTCATGGTGCAGTGTTCAAGGTACTTTAATGTTGCCTTTTACTTTTACGGTTTGTTTAGTTTCTAACTTTGCTCTGGTATTTGTGTTTCCAACCGAAAAATTTGTAGCGAACATTAGTAGTGATTTAGTGATTTTTTCGTGTGATAATAGAAAACTTATATCGATTATTTTTCAAAGAGTCAAATTGTACTGTGTAAATTTTATAAACGTTAACATGATCATCATAACAAAATTCCACCATGAAATCTAGCATCTATCGACTGTATTCAACTACATATCATATCGTACATATATTATAGTATAATATATGCATATATAATATGTATATAAGTGTAGGGCGTCCCCCCACTAGATGGAGTGACGACCTGGTAAGATATGCAGGAAGTCGATGGATGCAGGTGGCTCAGGACCGTGCTTTGTGGCATTCTTTGGGGGAGGCCTATGTTCAGCAGTGGACTTGTGAAGGGCTGTAATGATGATGATGATGATGATATAATATGTATAACATTATATATTATGATCGATGTATAATCGTAAAAATAACATTAAATGAAAAATTATTAATATCGAGTTCGTAATTTAAAGCCATGATTCAAATTTGGTTATATAGAAGGGCGCGGTTACTAATTAAAAGAAAATTGTTAATACCGACACCAGTGCTAGTCTATGCTCCCCAGACTAAGTTTTAACGAGGATATATTTGGTTTGGACCAACCCTTTGGTGATTTCACTATTGAGTCCGACTGCGAATAACTCCGTAATTGCCTTCAAACAACTTCTGGCTTTGTGGAAAATACACCGATGTTACCATCTATGTTTTGAAATTCCTGAATAGCATACGGGTAGGTGAAAGATAAACAAATCCTGAACTGCGATCGATATCATAGCAGGAAACTGAATATGTATGAATACTACGAGTATATTGCGTTTTAAAACTAATAATTTAGGTTGATAATGAGAAACGCAGTAATTTCATATATAACAATGAACTTAACCTAAAAGCATTTGCATTTATTTACAGCAAATCTGTTTTAAATATCTTATGTACAACGCAGAAAATTTTGCGAGAAAACTTTATTTTGTATGAGACATTGGCCAGTTATAATTTATTTTGATAATAGTATTATTTTTAAGGAACGAGTCATCAACTTTCAGATATTCCCCCCTTTTTTTACGAGCTAAAGAAATATCACGTTACATGGAAAAATGGATTAACGTCGTTAATATTTTCCCGCGATGATTTTTAACAATTTTAAATGGCGCCTCAAACCAGATGACCCGATTGATATAGACTTCAACGTCATTTATGGATAAAAGCCCTTCCAAGGCAACCATGTACAGTGATTTTAATTGAAGAAAATAGGAAAATTACATAAGAAAACATTCAGCACATATTGATCAAAAGTACTCGACCCGAAATCTGAGAGTGATGAGATTGTATAGGTGTGATCAAGATGCACAGGAAAGATTTTTTGATCGCTATATTTTTCACATTAACTGGGTATTTGGTGTAATTGCTTTGCGAAACAAAAGTGACATTAATGCCAATAGTATACCACCAAACGTTTGCCAGAATTATTCACTGCTGTGAGCAACGGGCTACTGCTTCACTATGACAATGCGCCCGCGCTAAAGTGCTTAAAACGAGAGACTTCCTGGACAGTACCTACACCTATTAATCATCTTTCATTACAGATCTGATTTAGCACCGTGTGACTTCTTTTTATGATTTAAAATAAAAATCAGCTAAAAGGGATATAGTTTTTATCACCTGAAAATGCACTGGCAGCGTTCGAACAGATCGTGGATGAGACGTCTAAGGCGGACTGGAAAATGTTCCTTAATTAATTCAAACGCTTAAAACTTTCTTTGAAAAGACTTATTAATCAAAATTTAACCATAGAATTTTGTGTTTAGTTTCGATTTACTTTTTTTATAACAACAATATGTCTAAGTATAAACATAACATTTTTTTAAACACACTGTCATAAAGATACTAATAGCAATGTCTATTACAGACCTGAGGAAAACCACTGGCTGCTGGCGGTAAGATGATGGAATGTCTTTGCCCTGCGCCTCGCACCCTGGCCTGCCGCGTTGTTCTCCTGGATGAACGGGAGCTACTACACGAGATTCAGGTAAATATTTCTTTATAAGGTTATTTTCTTTACATGCAACTAATTTAAAAAAAATCATTGAATGAATATCACAAATAACAGGGGCAGAAAAATGGTTGACAAAAATGATTGCCTGATGATGTATTTTACTTAAAGCCACTGAGAAAAACATACATTTTTGGGAATATCGAATGACTTTAATTTTAATTTCAAGTGTTGTCATTTACTATATTCATACTATTTTCGTATAAACTTTGTAAGACTACCAACACAACACACAAACACAAAATATTTTTTATAAGAAGTTATTATTAGTAAAAACTATACTATTAGTAATAATAAAAATAAAAGTAATATGGTTGAAAATAAGCCTCTTACAAAGAACTTCTTGCAATAATACATTGTCTCAATCATAGCAATATGTAACTATTCCATTCAATGTTATGGCAACACTAGCTAAAACAACATGTCCCTGTATCTAGATACCAGGCCATAAAATCAAAAAAAAAATGTCACTGTATTGCACAAAGGGCCAGAAGCCACGCCAGAAATATATATTTATAGTATGCAAATATTTAATGCAGATAAAAATAATCAAAAAACTCTCAAGTATGTAGGTAGCTACATTATATTGAGAATGTATTAAGCTAACATCAAACAACCACAGGACGCATGACTTTTTCCAAGTGACATAAGACAACCTAAAAAGGTTCAAATCTAAATATCTTTTTTTTGACGCCTTCTCAGGACAAAATTATTTGACATAGTTACTCAGGGAATGACGCTTAACATTTTAAGATATATTTGATATATAGGCACTATCGTACCATTTCTTCTCAAGTCATTTTATGTATGAAAGTCTGCCATTGTTCTTTAACACTAAAACTGAAATTAAAGTAGAAATCTGCATTTTTAGGGAACATATTACTTGTATAATTTAAAGTGTATTGAGGTTTATATTTAATGCAGTTTTATGTATGGGTCAACCGATGGGGAAGTAAGGTTCTTAAGTTGAAATCTCGTAACGCTAAGCGAAGTGTAGAGCTGGAGTGACGACTTGGTAAGACATGAGGAAATCGGTGGATGAAGGTGGCACTCCATGAGGGAGAGCCTATGTTCAGCAATGAATTGTTAAGGATGGATAAATAAATATGTATGAGGAATGATTTTATAAAATTACGTATTTCATTAATCAAACAAATCAAGCACTGTAGAAAACTGTAAGATAAGCTTTTTTATGGTACAGTTGAATTTTTTATACATTTTGTGTACATTACTTTTTATATTTGTGTTGGGGGCTGTAGTTTCTTCTAAACTTTTCTTATATCTTTGTGAAATTGGCAAGATTATTTCGAAATCTCTCACCGAGGGCGTCCCCGCGGACACCGGCGGTATTTTTCAATTTCGCTGTATGAGACAACGTGAGATTTTTTCCTCTGTTCCTATTCCCTTACATTAGAAGTGCAGCTATTCCGAGACGAATTATTTGAAGTACACCCAGGGGCTTGTGGCAGGTCTTTTATATGCGGGGCTCGGGTCCAAGGTGCGGGCGATGAATTCACTGAATCGTACGACGACTCTATGAATATTAAATTCTATTTGGTTGGCATTGTTGTCGCGCGGTGAATGTGAGAGTGGTTCGCGGCCGCCGCGACGCACGTGTTACCTACATAATTATCAACACTTGGGTCCTGTACACAACCCACTGCGGATAATTAATAGAATATTTTACAAATATTATATAATGAAGTATAAATTTATACATAAAAATTCTTAATAAAACTATATATAAATTGAAATGTTCTAAAACATTTCAATTATATATAGTATCTATTAGGTCTTAGTACTTTAGTACCCTGTGTAGTGGCGGGAAAGAATACCCATTACCCCATATCTTCCCGTAGGTGTCGTAAGAGACGACAGAGGGAAACTAGGGCAGAAAATGAGCAGCAATGGGCCGGCCACATAGCTCGAAGAACCGACAACCGATAGATAAATAAGGTTCTCGAGTGGCGGCCTTGTACCGGTGGACGAAGTGTAGGGCGTCCCTCCACTAGATGAAGTGACGACATGGTAAGACATGAATGAAGTCGATGGATGCAGGTGGCTCAGGAACGTGCTTTGTCGCATTCCTTGGGGGAGGCTTATGTATATCAGTGGACTTGTGATGGGCTGTAAGGATGATAATGATGATGACTTTAGTATAATATAGACTGTATAATATAATAATAATCTATGCTGGCTTCTTTGAACTGTAATGGCTATGATTTGACTTGGAATTTTAAATGGAAATAAAAAAAACTTACCGTTGACCGTTATTGTTAAATAACCCAGACTGATGTACTGATCTGCGCAATTCCTTCTTAACAACGTTATTTTGAGAATTAGCAGGGCTAAAGCTAGAGACTCTGTCTCATCCACCATATGCTCCTGACCTTGTCCCAACAAACATCTACTTTTTCGAAGTTTAGATAACATTTGTCAGACAATAATTTTAATTCGGAAGAAGTAGTAAAGACCACCTTTAAAAAGTTTACCAATTCTCGTTCAGCTGATTTCTATAGCAAGGGCATCAAAAACTGCCCATAAAATAGTTAGATTTTGTTAATAGTTTAGTGAATTATTTGAGTAAAATATAGTTTGTTTTTGTATTTTTTTTTTTTACTTCAAATTCCCCATTCTAAAAGGTTACGGTTCTTCTAAAACCGTAAATATGTTTAACAACTATTAAATTTTTTTAAATTCATTCAGTTTTTTTTTGTGGCTTTAATTTGAGATACATTAAAATATTATCAATTTTCATTGATTAGTTGAAACGAGCAAGTTGCCAAATTATATAAGATGCACGTTATGCTATTCAAACTATTTTGTTGATGACGATACAACATAATGTAAAAATATTATCTGTTAAAAAGAAAATGAAATCAATGCTTTGCAGAGTGCAAAGCAAATATTGTAATAATTTATGACTTTACCCTACTTACACTTTGCTCGCCAACGAAACGACTACGTAAACAGTATCTCAGTATTATCTTGAAAACTTTCTCGCAAATGAAAACATATAAAATTGCTTTCATCCAATGGATTTAACACTTATCCGGACATATTACTATAATTCTTTGGCATAACCGTAAACAACGGTCGAACTGTTATGGAAATACTTTTCTCTGCCCCACAATCCCACGCATAACTTGCTCGTCAAACAAATTCCAAAGATATATTGGGCTAGAATCGCCCAATTTGGGTAAAGTGGAAACGACGAGAGTTCGACATTTCTCGCTAAATTGTATGGTTATTTCAGATAAATCGTCGCCCTTTCCAGAGTTTTCCTATCTACAAAGGGCCATTTGTCTCAAACGGATCCAGTGAAACTTTCGCCTTTTCTCATAACGTTAAAATTGGATTGTTTGCTAAGGATTTATTTGTTTTATAACTATTTTTTATTTACTTAAACATTGGAAATGAATATTAAGAGAAAAGTTTAAGAGATTGAAAGAAAGAGAAAAACTTGAGTTTATTTTTATCCTTGTTTGATTTCTACCAAGACATTTCATAGCTCATATTTAGATCTAAAATCTATTTTCAGTCTTGCCGTTTATTCTCTGTATTGGTCAATAATAAATGTACGGTTCGTAAGAAACGATAATAAGTCTAAATTGAATAAAATGCCTCTGACTATTGATTTTGTTATTGTTATTTCAACTGCTGCTTCATGCATTTCATTATGCACGTCAAACAAGTAAGCCCAAGAATCGGAAACGGTGTAAAAGACAGTGGCAATTACGACAAGCATATGTATAAAGACGCCAACAAGAATCAGCTTGAAGTGTTATAATTTACATTCCACAAATATTGTCTGGAAATTTATTATTAACAATAAAAATTGCATTGGCTCACCATATTATATGGGTATATGTATATATACTCATACTCCGGTCATACCATGGTATGGTGAACGTTTGGAGCTTTTGTAACGCTTTTGTAACGCCAGGAGTTTCAGGGAAGTGCAGCCTGAACAGAGAAGGAGATGTAGCTAAAACTGGTGAAGTGTATTGCTACTGTAATGTCATGATTTGAGGACTGGTATTAAAATTTATCCTCAATATATGTAGGTAGCCAAGAATCCACGAATCAAAGAGCTACTTACTTTGCTAGCTTTTTTTAAATCACTTCTGCATTTCAAAATAATCTTGCCCTTAAGCCAAGGTAGCGTAGAGCTGTGCACTCATTAAAAAAAAGAACTAAGTGACAATGATAAATGAGCAAACAGTCAGTGATAGTAAACGGGTTCTGTGGCCAACAGACGCTTACATGCGCTATTATCGATAAAAAATCAATGTGAAAATGCATTGTTATCTCTGAAAACTATGATGGAATTTTAACTGAGCGGTCCTCTTCAGCTTCCGATTATTTAAAAATTGTTGCCGTTCATTGTCCTCATCATCATTACAAATAGTAATAAGAAATCCCAGTGATGGCTTTAACAGGGTCGAGAGGTTCTTATTTGTTCAAAACAGGCATTCTTGAGATTAATTGTCATTACCGCCACGCCTAGAACACGCATGAATTAGATTTACAAAAGTTTTTAATTGCCTACTTACAGACAGGTTTCGATTACTGGTAACTCTATATGAGAGGTATACTAACTGTAGTGTTTTATCTGTACTATTAAGAATTATAAATTGGATTGGATTGGATGAACTATATAACAGATTACCATATATCGGATGCCCTTAGTCAACTGACGACACATCAGCATGCGGATGGGGTAGTTTTTTTCTAGTAGTACTTTTACAATATAAGCCGCCATCGCATTTCATTTCAAATTATTATATTTTAATAAAGTATCAGTTATGAAGTATTAAAAAAAAGTATAAGCAAAAACAAAAACAGACAATAAATATTCAATCACTTCGTTCCTTTTATTGCACAATCAGAACGGAACGTGCAAGTACATTCCGTGTTGGGAGCATTGTCTTATTTGTCTCGACTACTGGGACGAGTGCCGAAGAAATTGCTCA